AGCCCCTGAGGGGTCCCAGACTGGGAGAGGGCACAGGCTGGGCTGAGGGACCCCCTCCTTCCCCCCCAAGTGCACAAATTCTTGTGCACCAGGCCTCTAGTATATATATAATTGCATTCACCCCTTAGATTGCTAAAGATTTTTTTGAAAGTTATAGAAGTTCCTTGGCTGGGTAGCTCAGTTAAAGCATCATCCCATATGCCAAATGGTTGCAGGTTGGATTCCCATTGGGCACATACTTAGGTTTCGGGTTCAATCCCCAGTTGGGGCACATACTAGGGTAGCCAATCGATGTGTCTCTCTCACATCAATGTTTCTCTCTCTCTCCCTTCCTCTTACTCTAAATCAATAAAACATATCCTCGGGTGAAGGTTGAAAAAAATTAAAAGTTACATAAGTGAGGAAACATTTACTGAAGAGTATAAATTGGTTTAACCTCTTTAGAGGTCAGTTTGGAACCAGCAAAATTTTAAAAGCATAGATCTTGACTCAATTCTTCTACTGCTTCTAGATATTTTCACATTTGAATGTAAAGATATGGGTGGGGTTTACTATAGCATTATTAGTTACAGCAGAGGAACAGAAAAAACTTAAATGCCCCTCAACAGAGGTCTGACTGAATCATTACAATACAACTGTGTGTCTGGATCTCTCTCCACCTACTCTCTGCATTGAATGGTTAACCTACGTGGGCTATGGAAACAGGATTCCTTGCCCTCTGGATTCTGTTGCATTCGGCCAACAGGGAGCACTGGCAAGACTGGGAGGGAATAAAGTCACGGTGTTTATTTCACCAGCATGTCCCCTGGCTGAGTCCCAGGCAAAGCAGCCCTCTCTGACTTGCCCTCACTTCCGCTAGCCTAGACCTGGAGTCTTGCACTGTTCCCTGTGGTTTCTTTTACCCAATCCTCCCCACACCTTTGTAAGTAGTCCCTTAATTAAAGGCTCCCCAAATAACTGAATTTACTTATTTATTTTTTATTGACTTTAGAGAGGGTGGAAGGGGGGAGGGAGGGAGGGTGAGGTAGAGAGGGATAGATGTGAGAGAGATACATCGATCAGTTACCTCATTGACTGGAGATCCAACCTGACAGAGAATCAAACCCATGACCTTCCGATGCATGGGACGCTGCTCCAACCAACTGAACCAAACCAGCCAGGGACCAAATGATCTGAATTTAAATGCACCCTTCGCAACCTGCCCCATACACCAGAGGACAGAAAGATGTGAGTGGTACATAGGACAGAAGGACAATCAACCAACTACTATTTTCTAGCTGTATGACCAGGGCAAGTTAGTGCTCTGAGCTTCAGTGTTGATGACAATGTAAGACAAGCGGTCCAGACTGCAGCCTGAAGTCTATTTTCAAGAAGATAAATTTGACAGAATCAACAGAAAGCCTGACTATGTGACCATTTATTTGGGGAGACTTCCATACTTGGGGCAAAATCTGAGTTGAAACAAAAGAAAAACAATGACAATTATTAATTCCAGGGAAAACAAAAATCTCTGCAAAAACAAAAAGGAAAAATAATCATAGTACTCTATTTGGCTCAATTGTATGTAGTGTTTTCAAAATCATATTAATTTAAACGGTGACTATTCTATCCAAATTCTGAAATGACTATGTTGGGAAGACTGGGGAGTGGGAGGGCCGAGCAGTATACATGTGTTGAGAGTGGGCAATGGTAGTGAAAGAGCTAAATCCACATCTTCCATCGTGACAAGGTACTAGATCATGTCTAAAGCTAAGAAAGTGAGAAGGAGCTCTCAAAGTTACTTAACTACATGGAGGTAAAACTCTAATGGTTCAAGTTGAAAGCTGCCGCTTCTAGGGGAGGAAGTGGAAATACGGTGCTACTTATAAGCCTTGGAGACCAGGAGAGCACACAGGGCTAGAAGCTCAAAGACTGAATTTACCTTCCTAGGCTTAACCTCAATTCCGGCCCCGCAGCAGAGAATCCCAACATCGCAAATAAACCAAGACATATACCCGTGTGGAATTTTTCACACCCTAAACTAATAGGATGTAGATTCAACCAGATCGTTAAATGGTTCTTGCTGCAGCATGGGCAAAGACTTAAGAACGGTAGGTAACTTTTAGTTGAGCACCGCCCTTTATTCTCAAATCCCCACAGGCAGGGTTTTACGATAAGGAGGTCAGAAAAATTAAGTAAACTGCCCTCGGTCAACAACTAGTAAGTGAAAGGACCAGGGCTGTGATTAGCATCCGGACTTCTTCACACTGTCCTGTCACTATCAAATTAGCCAATCTACCTAAATCCTGAGGCTCAGGGCTAACGCAGAACTCAATAAATACTACCAGCTGTTACTTCTGTTTCTGCATCTTAAAGGCAAGAACACCTGGCACAGGTGAGTAGGGACTTAGCCCTCAGTGAACAAACCAGTTCCCCACACACCCAGCAGACAGCCCAAGACTATGGCTACCCCGGGGCTGTAGTGCTGGCCACTAGCACTTGGAATGAAGGGACAGCTGAAATGCTGAGGTCACACGAACAAGCAAAGAAAGTGCAAGTGGGGCTAGAAAGTGCAGGTCAGGCAGGTTCAAACCCAAGGGCACGAAATTACAAAAGGGGCACAGGTGGGAAAGGCAAGCCTTACCACTAGGAGCAAGACACACACATGGTTGGCTGTACCCTATTTACCTAGACCAGTGGTTCTCAACCTTGGCTGCACATTAGAATCACCGGGGAATCTTTTTAAAACCCTGATTTCTGGGCGTCATTCCAGAGGAATCAGGATTTTAAAAAGATTCCCCGGTGATTCTAATGTGCAGCAAAGGTTGAGAACCACTGACCTAGAGGGCATTAAAATACTTGAGCAGGTGAGAATAGGACTTGCACACTTATTTTGAGTGGTTGGCCTTTTAAACACCAGAGGTTTACATATGAATCTGAAATTCTCCCCGGAGCAGAGGTAGCAGGTTGCCTAGCCTCTCTGTGCACTTCCTGAGCACAACGGGGTTTCTGTACAGACCAATGAAGAGAAGACACACGCAGCTTTCAGAACCTGCGGCGCATGTAAGAACATACAACCAACAGCTGTTACCGCTCTCACTGCATCCCCGCAGCGGCCCTGGAGCATCAGCACCATCCCCGTTTGGGACACTGACAGCAACGCGCCCAAAGCCAGCAGCAGGTGGGAAAAGGACCGGAACTGGTCCGCCGTCCCTGGGCTGGGCTCCACTCAGACGGCTGCCCCCGCCCCCTCCTCACCGCCGGCCTGGGGGTCCCAGGCGGTTATGGAGGCCGTGGCTCCCCGGTCCCCTCCCTGACATGACCACTGGCTATGTGGCCTCTGTAGTCTCTGTGCTTGCCACCACTCCCCTCCTACTCCAGGCTTCAGCCAACATATGCTGCTCCCTTGCCACATCTTCCTATCATGATCTCTCCTCAGTTAGCTTCTTCCCACGCCTTTCTCAAACCTCAGTTGATAGGTTACGTCCATCATTAAGCTTTATCCGACCTCCCAGATTGGTTGAGATGCCACTCTCCTGTGCTTGTACCCCTACCCCCCATCATATCCCCGGTTTAGCCTTGTCCTCCCCCCGGGAGGAAGGTGGGAGGGAGGCTGGTCCTCCGCTCCCGACCTCGGCGGGCACGGCGTGGCCAAGCTGCTCCAGCCTCCAATTCTGTCACATGGACCAACCTCGGGGCCAGACCCAGAATTCAGCGCTGTCCCGGGTCTCCCCGTTACCAGCACGTTGTTAACAACCACGGGGGACGCCCTCACGGGCGCGGACTGACCTGGCGCCTTCGCCCAGCTTCCCGTGCGTGTTGTAATTCACCGTCATGACCTTCACCGTGTCCTTGAACACCACGTCCCCCTGGCCCAGGTACTGCAGGGTGCGGCGAATCGGGAAGCGGCCTTTCATGGGCATGGCTGCGCTGGTCGAGCCGCGAAGCGAGCGGCGAGGACTGACGAGAGGAGCAGACGCCGCCGCCGGCGGACCTTCCACCGCAGCTCCTCCGCGCAGTTTCCACTTCCCGCGCAGACTCACAGGAGATTCCTCCCGGCAGCCAACGCGGGTGTCGCAGGGCAGCCTGGAACTTGTAGTCCTGGGCTGTCGGTGCTTTGAGATGGGGGTGGGAGCACGTCCAGATTCGTTTTAGAGCACCCTCTTCCTGAAATGTTTCGTTTTCTATGTAGTCGTCTTCTCCCCCACAAGGAAAAATATTTTTAAATAGGATCAAACTCGATCATTCAGACAACAAAGTTACAGCAGAACATAAATCCGAAGAGCTGAGTTCCGATACCAAATCGGGGAATAACTTTCTATTCAACCTCAAATAAGTCAGTTTTCTTTCTCTCAGCTTCTCCAGTTTCAAAATGAAAGGATCGAACTATGCAATATCTAACATTGACTTAGAAAAACTGATTTTCAAAAGAAAAAGAAAAATTTGGGTAAACCCCTTCCAGATTTAAGCACTTAACAGCTCTGGACCTCAATATTTTTCTTAAGCCAAACGTGAAAGACATGCATTTCTCAAGTACTACTGTTACTGATCTGAGACCATTATTTCTCCTTCACTTTTGAAGGATAATTTTGCCAGATATAGGACTCTAGGCTCGTGGGGGGAGGGGAGCAGTCTTTCAATGCTTTAAATTTTTCACTCCACTGTCTTTTTGCATAGTTTCTGACCAGTAGTCAGCTGTAATTTTTATGTTTCTTTATAGGTAAAATAGTTTTTTCTTCTAGCTTCTTTCAAGATTTTCTCTGTCTTCGGTTTTTGCAGTTCGATTAAGATACACTTAGGTGTAGATGTTTGGCATTTATGCTGCCAGTATTCTATGAACTTCCTGGATCTCTGGTTACTGGTGACTGTCATTAATTTTGGAAAGTTCTTAGCTATTATTGTTTAGAATATTTCTTCTTCATTCTCTCATTTTTTTCTCTCCTTCTGGTATCCCAATTTTACAGCTTTGAGATTTTCCCAGAGTCTTTGATTTTTTTTTTTTTCTTTTACACTCAGTAGAAAAGTTTCTGTTGACCTATCTTCAAGCTCACTGGTTCTTTCCTCAGCTGTGTCCTGTTTACTGATGAGCCCATCAGAGGCATTCTTTATTCGTCGCCCCCCCCCCCAGCATTTCCTTTTGACTATTTCTTAGAGTTTTCTTATCTCTGCTTACATTACCCATCAGTTTTTGCATATTTACTTTCACCATTAGACTCCTTAACATAATGTTAAATTCCCTGACAACTCCAACATCTGTGTCACATCTGAATCTGATACTTTGTCTCATCAGACTATTTCTGTTTTGTTTGCCTTTTTTGTCATGCTTGTTGTTTTGGTTGAAAGAAAATATTGGCTGTATTGGGTAATAGGAACCAAGGTTTAAAAAAGCTTTCAGTATGTGCATTTATGATAATCTGACTAGGGTTTGAACTGTTTAATGTTTGCTGTAGCTGTAGGTCAAGCATGTCAAACTCAAAGGCTAACATGAGCCAAATAAACAAGGTTTAACTTTATGTGGGCCGCAAAAAAAAAAAGCTTCAATTTTCATAGAAATGTAGGTTTATTTCAAGAGACATGCTGAATACAAAGGACTGAAATAAATGAGTAATCGTTAAAATAATACATTTTAATAAAAATTAGTATTTTTCTTGAACATTAACTTACCAGACACTGAATAACTGCACAAAAATTAATAGCGTAATGCAAACTTATTTTTCTTGTTCTCCAAAAGCGAAATATTTTCTGTTGTGGACACCAAACAAATCAGTACAAGACTAATGACGTGGCAATTGGTTACTAAAATATTCACTGCTAGTATGAGTGGAGAGAAATGGTGCACCTGCACGTAAGATGAGTAAGGGAAATGAATGCAACACAATGATAGTAATCAGTCAATTAGCGAACAATGCGGTTTGTTATTACTAATTATGTATAACAGGATATTGTAAAAATTAAGTTATGAATTTTTTATTAAAACCTTTCTTACATGCTGTTATATTGGCTGGGCTGCAAAATATTTGTTGTGGGCCACATGAGGCCTGCAGACTGCAAGTCTGACATGCTTGCTGTAGATGCTAGAGACTTCAAATTCCTCTAATCTTTGTTTTACCTCCCCTCTTGACTTTGGGCTTCCTTAGATAGTCCTCCTCAAAGTTTGTGTTTTGTAGCTCTTTTAGCTATAACCCACTGCTATTACTGGAGCTCTGTTGGTATGGGGAGAGAGAAATTGGTCTATAGTCTTACGATAAAATCTCAGTATTTTAGTGGGCCTGTGTCCCTGGGCTGTGACCACCATAAATGTTTCTTATCCCTGTGATACCTATCCTATATAATAAAAGGGTAATATGCAAATTGACCCTAACAGCAGAACCACTGGGAATGACTGGTCACTATGACACACACTGACCACCAGGGGGCAGACTCTCAATGCAGGAGCTGCCCCCTGGTAGTCAAAGTGCTCCCACAGGGGGAGCTCTGCTCAGCCACAAGCCAGGCTGCCGGCTGCCAGGACAGTTCTGGTGGCGGGAGCCTCCCCCGCTTCCTCAGTAGCGCTAAGGATGTCCGACTGCAGCTTGGGTCTGTTCCCTGCTAGCAAGTGGACATCCCCTGAGGGCTCCCGGGCTGCCAGCAGGATGTCTGACTGCCAGCTTAGGCTCAACGCCCCGGGGAACAGGCCTACGCCAGCAGGTGGACATCCCCCAAGGGATCCCAGACTGCGAGAAGGCACAGGCCGGGCTGAAGACCCCCCCTTCCCTCCGAGTGCACAATTTTTTGTGCACCAGACCTCTAGTATATATATAAAAGCCTAAGCGACCATTATATTCAACCAAAATATTCACTGCTAGTATGAGTGGAGAGAAATGGTGCATCTGCACGTAAGACAAGTAAGGGAAATGAATGCAACACAATGATAGTAATCAGTCAATTAGCAAACATTGTAGTTTGTTATTACTATTTATGTATAACAGGATATTGTAAAAATTAAGTTATGACATTTTTACGAACAACCAGTTGACCGGTTACTATGATGTGCACTGACCAACAGGGGGCAGATGCTTAATGCAGGAGCTGTCCCCTGGTGGTCAGTGTGCTCCCACAGCCAACCTCCCACATCTGACCAATCTCCCACAGTCCCTCCACGTGGCCAACTGGCCCCAATTGGCCCTGATCAGGACTGGGCAAGATGGCCCCGATCAGCCCTGATCACTGTCCAGGATAAGGGACCCCACCCGTGCACGAATTCGTGCATTGGGCCTCTAGTTGTAAGATAATACAATACTAGAGGCCTGGTGCACAAATTTGTGTACAGGTGGAGTCCCTCGGGGTGGCCTGCAGAAATCGGGCCAAAACCTGCTGTCCAACACCACCTGCAGTTCCTACCTGCTGCTCCCACTCTTCCTGGCCCCACTGCACCCACCGCAGGCTTGCGCCCAATCAGTCCTGATCGGCAGAGGCTCATGCCTCCACAGCAGCACTCGCCAGCCCTGAGCTCTGCATCTGGCACGCTCCTGAGGGGAGTGGCCTGTGGGATTGGGCCAAAACTGGCTTTCTGACATCCTCCAAAGGGTCCTGGATTGCAAGAGGGTGCACGCCAGGACGAGGGACCTCACCGGTGGATGATCAGGGCCGGGGAGGCACCATAGTAGGGCTCCAGGATGTGTCTGGCCCCGTCTTGTCCAGTCCTGATTGGCTGGACCCCAGCAGCAAGCTAACATACTGGTTGGAGCGTCTACCAGGTGGTCAGTGCACATCATAGGAACTGGTCAGCCGGTCATCTGCCCCCTGGTGGTCAGTGCATGTGCTAGCGAGCAGGTGAGCGGCCTTAGCATATCATTAACATATTATGCTTTGATTGGTTGAACAGTCGATCGGTCACAGGAAGACCAGACACTTAACATATTAGGCTTTTATTACATAGGATATGTATATTTGGCCACTATTCCTTGTTCCCAGCTAGAGCTCCTAAAAGCCTGTCATTTTCTTAATGAGACAGAAGCATCTTTTGTCATAATCTCTGGATTCTGTCCCTCTCCCTGAAATGGCTCTGGTTAAAAGTGAAAGGAGCATCTTTTGTTGTAACAATCCCCAGTTCAAACACACCTGTTCATGCAAATGAAGTGACTTTCGGAAAGCCCCAAGGGATGGGGGCTGGTTACCAGGAGAACCATGTGATTAAAAGTGCCGGAACACTCAGCCCCAGCAATTTGTCAAAATGTTCCTAACAGGTATGGTTCCAATGGCTTTGCTCCAAGTAAGCAGACCTCTCGGCTGTGACTCTGAACTTACCTCTTTCCGGATTTTGAGGTGGCCATTTGTCCTGCGAAGTCAGTTCTCTGAGGGTCCAAGAAAAGTCAGTGATTTTCAGTTTGTCCAGCTTTTTCTTGTAAGGACAGGAATGTCAACTTCCAAACTCTTGGTGTGCCTGAGCTAAAACCAGAAGTTTGTTCTGATGGATTTTTTAAACTGTGTTAGGCCACTGAAGAGTTTTAGGTAGAAGAGCTTTTGACCTTAAAGTCCACAGGGAACACTTCCTATGGATGAAATACCCCATCCCATGTTAGACACACGAGTGTCCATATACAAAGCAGGCCAGGGCAGTATGGGTTTTGGAGTCAGACAGACCTGGGCTAGAATCCCAGTAGTATAACCCTGAGCCTGCTTAATCTCACCACATTCATTTTTTCATCTGTAAACTGAGATTGTTGGGAAGATTAAGGGGGTAATCCATGCATAACACATAGCATTCTGTCTGGCCCACAGTGAGCACTAAATATTATCTCCTCCTGGTTTAGTCATCTATACAGGTCTTAGGAAGTTCCATGTCAAAGGCTCAAGTGATATCAGTATTAGAAACCCATTAAGCAGCTCTAACCTGCCCATCCCTGCCACCTTTGGGCCAGACACAATGCTTGTGCATTCCCACTGTGCCTGGCTCAGATCAAACCCTCCTTGCTACTTAGGGCCACGTGGGTCAGGCAGACCAGGCTTTAAATCCTCATTCCAGCCCTGACTGGCAGTGCGACCCCAGCCAGGCTGACCTCTTCCAACCTTTCTGTTCA